GTGGTAATGGGTACCCATAGTGGACAGTGTTGGCTGGAGCTTCCCGACTAAATCAAGCCTGGAAGCAGGAGCGGCATCCACTTCCAAAATGGCTTGCCTCCGGAAACTCTATGTACGAACAGTGCTCAGGCTGTTCATTCATAGGGTCGCTATGAGTCGTGTACAACTCAACGGCATCAAAACAACAACAACCACTGAATCACTTGGTTTAATGCTTCACCTTTCTGAGTCTCGGTTTTCTCATCTGCCAAATGGGCAATTAAGCTGCAACAATTATTTTATTTTTTAAAATATCCACTTACTTAAGCAGCAGAGTCTTTCCCTTGAAATGAGAGGTAGATTGGGGTTGGTGCATTTTTCAAAGTTCTCTTTTAGGACGATGTGAGAAGCACACTTGGGGGTGCAAAAGTGGAAGTCGGAGGTACCATTGCTCTGAATGATAGGAAGAATGCATGTTTAGCAAGGGTTAAGGCAGTTGCATGAAGAGAAGTGGGTGAAATTGGGCAATATTTAGAAGGGAAAAATAATTTAGATTTTCTAATGAATTGGACAAGGAGAGGAAGATGTCAGGAATGGTGCCTAAACCTTGAAAACAGAGTGAAAGAAACCAGATGCAGAGGGTGAGTATTGTATCATTCCATTTATATGAAATATTCAGAATAGGTAAATCTTCAGCAACAGAGAGCAGATTGGTGTTTGCCAAGATCTGAGGGGGGATTGGGAATGGGTAGTAGCTGCTGGGTAAAGATGGAATTTCTTTTTAAGTGATGAAAATATTGTGAAATTAGAGATAGTAGCTGTGCAACATTATGAATGTCCTAAATAACACAGAACTATTTACTTTAAAATAGTTAATTTTACGTTCTGTGACTTTCGCCTCAATTAAGAAAATGAGAAACTTCTAGTTATTCACTTGTTTAGTAGGCTAGAATGTGGTAGCGGTTCACCAATACAGGGGATGCTGGTGGGGAGTCTGCAGGGGAAGAGCATTCATTTCTTTTGGGGCTTAAAGTTAAAGGAGCCCTTGAAACAGCAGAGGGAATGCTGGTGGTGCACTGGTTAAGTGCTTGGCTGCTAACTGAAAGGTGAGTGCTTTGTACTCTGCAGGGGGAAAAGATGAGACCGTCTGCTCCTGTAATCATTTGCGACCTTGGAAACTCTCCGAGACAGTTATGCTTTACCTTATAGCATCCCTGGTTTAGGAGCACCTCGATGACAATCAGTTTGGTTTGATATTTTGGTTTGAGATAAATGGGTCATGCGGATTGAAGAACTCAGAAGCAAGGTCAGGTGGAGCTGTGGAGCTGTCTTTAGAGAAAGTGATGGAAAACTCTCTTCTCTTTATGTCTCCCTTAGGTCATGCTGGCTCCCCTCATTTCTATTGCTCTGAAGGTGTCCCAACTCCAGGAAAAGACAGGACGCACTGCACCCACTGTCATCACTTAAGAAGACAAGCTGGATGTGGTACGTCCCTCTGCCCCAAGACTCACCCAGGTTATCTGATTGAAGAGCATGGACAGAAACAAAGTGTCTTCACCCAGGCTTTTAGGAGTCGGTCTTTCTACTAATCAGAGCTACTGATGAATGGTGCATTTGCAAGGCCTTGCCCACGAAGATGACTATGAGAGACAGCCCTGTGGGAAAGAGGACCCAGGGGCTTATACTAATGTCACTTCCTTTTTAATTCCCTTGTGCACTGCTGCTGTGTATTTGTCTCTTTAAGTACTATGTACTGTTTACACTGTAACATAAGAAGGAGGTTGACTATCAACTGCAGAAGCCATTTTTCACCTTTAGAATGTGTCAATGAGATGACAGTGCAAGTTCCTTTCTTCCTTTGTGAATCCTTTGCCCCATTTACTGTTTACATGCAATCTAGCAATTCAATTTCTGGTGCCTTCTCTCCAATCAGTCCTTTCCTCAGAGTGAGACGTACAAATCCTTGCATTGTTTTGCAACATACTCCCATTCATGCAGGTACTTTGGAGTATTAAAGCAAAATAAGCTGCTATTTTGTGATGTCTTTTTTCCCCCCTCTGTCTTAACTACAAAATGCTCTGTGATTTTAAAAGCAAAACTTTTTTTTTCCAAGAAGAGAGTGTAATATTTTGATTTGATAGCCCAGCCAAAAAAACAAAACAATCTCTGAGCTAGGTTTAAAATTCATAGGTTCAAGAAATATCATGCAAATTGTAGCAGGTTCAGCTGAGCCCTGGATCTATCTTAGGTGGATAAATTAAGCTTGATGTGAATTATTTGAAACGGGGAAGGAAGATGAGCTTTAGGAGATCAAATCGCAAAGGGACATGCACCTTATGATGCTGAGATGTGCTGTGATGCCAATTGAGGAGACTCCAAAAATGGCATGGTTAATCGTTGGGCCAGAAATCTTGAGCCCACTGGCATTTTACTCACCTTAGAAAATTTATATTCGGCCCATGAGGATAAAGCAGTAAAGAGCATAGACTTGGAACTGACAGGCCCAAGTTGAAATGCAACTTGAGACCTTTTGACTATCACTTTCCTTGTCTTTGAAATGGGGATGAAAATAACTCCGTCTTTATGGGGTTGTTGAGATCATTGAGTGAGCTGACCTTTGAAAACAGAGGAGGGTGCAGTTGCTGGGATATTGTCAAAGATGTGGGATCTAGGATCATCTTTACATTGGTTCCAGACTTTAAAATATTTCCCTTAAGATCATATTTGCAGTGTGTTTTAGCATTTGTAAGACACTTTCCCAGATGTACCTTGTCATGGGGCTGTTGTAGGGGGACAGCCGAGCTCTGACCACCTCCTGCCACCCACTTCCTTATCTTCATTACAGGTGGCAGGATCTCTGTTGTTGTTGTTATGTACTGGCGAGTTGGAACTGTCCTGTAGCAGACCCTTCAGCAGGTTTTCAGAAGTAGTTAATCACAGAGGAGGCAACTGTCAATCTTTTTCCCACAAAGCAGCTGGTGGATTTGAACCATGTACCTTTGGATTGGCAGCACAACTCCTTACCACTAAGCCACCAGCACTTCCTGAGAGGATATTTACTGGAGTGATTTCCAGTATTTCAATGCAGCAGGGGAGTTTGGTTCAACAAACAGAACTGAGCTTTGATAATGACAAGGATGATGAGTGTTTGTTGAATATTAGCTCTATACCCTTGGTGAATACTTTCATGTTGTTGTTGTTGGGTTGGTATGTACCATCAAGTTGAGTACATCTAATAGCAGGTGCAACTCATAGTGTATGAGTATGCTTTCCATGTATTCTTTGTTGTTGTTGTTGTTGTTATTGTTATGTGCCATTGAGTCGCTTGCGGTTCATAGCAACCCTATGTACAACAGCCCTGTTGTACAACTGTCTCTGACATGCC